ATACACGTATATGTCTACACACACACACACACACACACACACACACACACACACACACACACACACACACACACACACACACACACACACACACACACACACACAAATGTCTTCAAATTTTCACATACCTCCCTCGGCATATCACGAAATCTGACAGGAGAGACTATTTTCGTCGGCCGCCCACGAGGTCTTGTGGGCGCGCTCCTGCTCCTGCTTCACCCCCCCCCTCCCTGCAGACCGCAGGCTTAACATACTGACACTTTTTCCCCTTTTCTTCGTCATAAGGCATTAAATTTTCCGGACTTTCTCCTGTTCTTTCCTTTTTTGTCCTCCCTATCTTCTGTCTCTCATTTCCCCGTTTCTCAGTGTCAGTCTTCTTCCTGTCTTCTTTCTTCTTTCCCTCTTCTTGTTTTCTCCCTTCCTTTCCTCTTCTTTTCTTATCTTGCCTTCTTCATTCTACCTTTTCGAATAGTTTCTCCCGAAAAAAATCTCTCTCTCTCTTTCTCTCTCTCTCTCTCTCTCTCTCTCTCTCTCTCTCTCTCTCTCTCTCTCTCTCTCTCTCTCTCTCTCTCTCTCTGCCCTACGACGAACGAGCGATTTCTTCACCTAATATCTTCCTCTTTCTTTTATTCTGTCTTTCATTCACTTTACATCTTCTCCGTCCTTTCTTATTTCGAATTAATTCTTTCACCTTCCTTTTCCACCCTCGTCCTACAGTTTTCTCTTCTTCTATTTTCCCTTCTCGATTTTTTACTACACTGATTCTTCTTTTCTAATTCTTTCCTCTTTCTTTTATTCATCCTTTCTCTCCTCCTCCTCTTTCCTTTCTCCTCCCCCTCCCCTCCTTCTCCCATTCTCCCTTCTCCCTGTCCGTACAACTTTCTTTTCCTTCTCCTCCTCAAAGTTCTTTCCTTTTCCTTACTCTTTTTTTATTATTATTCCTTCTCCCTATCCTCTTCCCTTCTTTTCAGTTTTCGTTCCCTTTTTTCTTCTCTTTCTACACCCTCCCTCTCCTCCACCTTCTCCCCCTCTCTTTCTTTTCCTTCCCTTACAATCTTTATCCTTTCTTATTCTCCTCTTCCTTCTCTTTATCTCTCCTTCTTCCACATTCTATTCTACTCTGAATTCTCTTTTCCTCTCTTTCCTCCCTCCCTTTCTCCTCCATGTTTTTTCTTCTCACCTTCTCCACATTCTCTCTGTCTACCAAATTCTCTTTTCCTCCATCTCACTCCCTCCATTTTTTTCACTTCTCTTCCTCTTCACATTCTGCACCTCCTTTTCCTCTCTCCATCATCCACATATTTTTCCTTCTCTTCTTCTCCACATTCTGCCCCCTCCCCCCCTTTCCTCTCTCCCTCCTCCATTTTTTTCTCTTCTCTTCTTCTCCATATTCTGCCCCCTCCCCCCCCTTTCCTCTCTCCCTCCTCCATTTTTTTTCCTTCTTTTCTTCTCTACATTCTGCCCCCTCCCCCATTTTCCTCTCTCCCTCCTCCATTTATTTTCTTCTTTTCTTCTCCACATTCTGCCCCCTCCCCCCCTTTCCTCCCTCCCTCCTCCTCTCTCTCTCCTCATTTCCTTCAAGCCGAGATGCTGAGAGGAAAGGCAGAGAAGAGGCGAGATGGCAGCAGCGGCCTCGACGTGGCTGAGACAAACTTGTACTTTCCTCATGCTTCCCCCCCCCCCTCATTTCCTCTCCGCATTTCCAGCCTCCCCCCCCCCCCATTATTAATAGTCCTTCACTCACACTAACCCCCACTCCTCTTCCCAAACTCCCAACGCTGCTCATAACACTTTCTCCCTCATATTTTCCTCATACCTACCCTTCCCCTCATGCCCCTCCCACCCACCACCTCCTTTCCATCCCCCCCCCCCCATTCTGCTAATAATGGTCCCTCACTCACACTTTCCTCATACCTGTTTCCCTAATGCCCCCTCCCCCCCCACTCCCGTCTCGCTCTGCTTATACTACACCCTCCCTCACACTTCCCTCACACTTACCTTCCCCTGATTCCGCCTCCCACCTCCTTCCCACCCCCACACTCTGCTTATAACACTCCCTCCCTCACACCTTCCTCATATCTAACTCTAGCCTCCCTCCCTCACACTTACCCCCTCTATTTCCCCCTCCCATCACCCACCTCATTTCCACCCCCCCCCCTCTCTCTCTCTCTCCTCTTAGCACCCCCCCTTCCTTATACCCCCCCTCTACCCTCACTCCCCACTCCCTCCCTCACACTTACCCCCTCCCTCCTTAACCCCCCCTCTACCCTCCCTCCCTCACACTTACCCCCTCCCTCCTTAACCCCCCCCTCTACCCTCCCTCCATCACACTTCACTCACACTTACCCCCTCCCTCCTTAACCCCCCCCTCTACCCTCACTCCCCACTCCCTCCCTCACACTTAACCCCCCCCTCTACCCTCCCTCCCCACTCCCCTCCCTCACACTTCACTCACACTTACCCCTCCCTCCTTAACCCCCCCCTCTACCCTCCCTCCCTCACACTTCACTCACACTTACCCCCTCCCTCCTTAACCCCCCCCCCACCTCCTACCTCATTTCCGACTGCCTTTCTCTCGCTCTCCGCCATAACCTCTGGGAAAATTCTTCTAACCCCTATCGTTACACTTCGGCCTATTTTCCCCTTGGCTAGCTCCAGGTAAGGGGGGGGGGGGGAGAGAAGAGGGGGGGGAAGGGAGGGGAAAAAAAAGGGAAGAAAAATCGGAAAATGAAGGAGGGGAAAAAAAGGAAAATGAAGGTGAACAAAAAAAAAAAAAGAGGAGAACGAGAAAAAAGAAATTAGGAAAATAAGGAAAAAAAATTAAAAGGGGGAAAAAAAGGTTTGGTTATCGAGAACCTTGTGGCTGGGGAGGAGGAAGGGGGGGAGGGGGGAAGAGGAGAGGGGGATGGGGGGGGGGGTGAAACGGATTACAAAAATGCACAATTACTTCTTGGTGTTCCCGAAGGAAAGTGTGGATGAGGGGGGGGGGAGAAGGGAAAAAAGGATGGAAGAAGGGAGGAAAGACAGAGACAGAGAGAGAGAGAAAGAGAGAGAGAGAGAGAGAGAGAGAGAGAGAGAGAGAGAGAGAGAGAGAGAGAGAGAGAGAGAGAGAGAGAGAGAGAGAGAGAGAGAGAAAGAGAGAGAGAAGAAGAAAAGACGAGATAAAGAGGGCAAAGAAAAGAGTGAGGGAGGGAGGAGAGGAGAGAGGAGAGAAGGGAAAAAAAAGAAGAGAGAGAGAGAGAGAGAGAGAGAGAGAGAGAGAGAGAGAGAGAGAGAGAGAGAGAGAGAGAGAGAGAGAGAGAGAGAGAGAGAGAGAGAGAGACAGGAAAGAAAAAAAGAGAAGTGTGGTAGGCAAAGAGATGGAGGGAGGAATAAATGAGAGAAGGAAGGAGAGACGAGAACAAAGGAAGAAGAGTAGAGAGAAGAAGAGACACATGACAGCCAAGGACACTATCATAACATCCAGGAACAACTTTTAACAAGGTAGATATCGAATGTTTGCCCCAAGTTTCACGAGAAGAACATTACAACGTTCTTAGATGGAGATAAGATATTATGGAACCATTCCAGAGGCCAAGAAAAACGAAGAATAATCATAAAATGGTAATAAAAATACTACTACTGCTACTACTACAAATAACAATAATAATGATGGTGATAATAACAATAACAAAAAAAAATATAATAACAATAATCATTATAAAAGTAATCATAATAATAATAATAATAATCATAACAGTAATATTATTTTTTCTTATTATTTTCTATTAATCATATAATAATAATAATAATAATAATAATAATAATAATAACAACAACAAAAGAAAATCTACATGCTAAACGAACACAAACCTCATTAATCCCAAGAAAAAGGAAACCTGGAAATTAAAACAAAACGCAAAAAAAAAGCAAAACTAAGAGACATATCAAGGTGTTCCAAAATAGCCCCCTCCCCCCCCCCTCCTTCCTTCCTGCGCCCCCCCCCCCTCTCTCTACCTTCTAACTCCGCATCCAACGCCATTTCCCGACGTTTTACGGCGCTTTAAGGACAGTCACCAAAAAAGAAACTCTACTTTGTTGGAGGCTGGGAACTAAAGAGAAGCGAAGGGGAGGGTAAGGGGAAGGGGAAGGGGAGGGGAGGGGAAGGGAAAGGAGGGGAAGAGAGGAGAGGGGAGGAGAGGGTAAGGGAAAGGAGGGGAATAGAGGGGAGGAGTGGAGAGGGAGGGTAGGAGGGTAGGGTAGGGGAGGGGAGGGGAGGGGTAGGGAAGAGAGGGGAGGGGAGGGGAGGGGGATGAGAAGGCATAGGAGGGTAAGGGAACGGGGGAGAGGAAAGGGGAAGGGAAGGGAAGGGAAGGGAAGGGAAGGGGAGGGAGGAGAGGGTAAGGGAGGGTAAATGAATCCCCACACGGGACAAGGATGAATTAATTACCCCAAACTCCTAACTAAGTATCGCTATATATTATGCCCAAGATAAATGAACTCGTTTCCCTGGCGGATGAGGAGCGGAAGGGGGGGGGGGGGGGTCTGGGGGTGTGCCGCGAAGGGGGGAAAGAGGAGGAGGGGGAGGGGAGGGGAGGGGGGGGAGAAGGGGAAGAGAAGGCTAAAGTACTCTGGCCAAAAAATGCGCCGGGATATATAGCCTAATTAAGTTCCTTATAAATGAAAGCCATCGTAATCGCACAGCAATGTTTACATGTTAACAAACAGCTTGGTATTAATAATTTTAGAAAGTTGGCAAAAAAAACAATCGAAAAAGGTCCTGCAAACACTTCAAAACAAAAACAAAACTCAAACACGATCCGCATACTGATTAAAAAAAAAAATAAACAAACAAATAAATACAACGAGCAAGGAAAACAAAACCAGAAAACTCCCCCAAAACAAAACCAAAAAAAAACAACAACAAACAAACAAAAAAAAAAACTCCCGCCAAAAAAAAAAAAAAAACACAAAACAAAACCAAAAAAACAAAAGCGAAACACGAAGCGCACATTACTCAC